TGTTGGATACATCCAAACGCACTCTCAGAAACTGAAGATGCACTTTAATTTTCATCGTGCGCATGTTCACAAAATAACCACATCTTTTAGGAGAGTTTCATCTATTGGTATGCTTTTTGTTCTTTTGAACCTAGAAATTATTGGCTTGGATCTAATGGCTAAAGATTTAGCACTAGGAGACTTGTTTTCTCTTCTTTTATTTTAATTATATTAGCCTAACACATTCGATTCCGTTTAGTTGAATAGGACTCGAAAAGAAAAAATTCAATGTAACGGTTACAACACTTCAGCACTGTCACATGGTGTATCAATCTATATAATAAAGTGGCTAGTTTTGTTTGTCTTGAACTTTTTGCGACTCAGATAGTTTGAAAATTATCAATCCGATGATCCTAATTGGACTTTAATTCCTTTTAAAACTCTAGTACTCTTATCTCTCATATAATTATCTCTCTATCTATCTCATACATTCAACTCTCATACGTATATAACTCTCTCTCTCATAGACATTTTAAACACACTCTCCCCCATCTCTCATACTCTCTCTCTGTCTATATATATGTATGTATATAAATATGTATATATATATATCGATAAATATAGATAGATTGAAAGTCTAATTAGGATTTTACGACTCCGATCATTTGAAGATTATTGATCTAACGATCTTAATTGAACTTTCATTCTTTTTGAAACTCTAAAACTCCTATCTCTCACATAACTCTATCTCTATCTCTATCTCATGCACCTAACTCTCATACGTATAAATATATGTATATATATATATATATATATATCATAGACATTTTAAACACACACTCTCTCATATCTCATAGTCTCTCTATATATAACAAAATAGCTAGTTTTGTTTGTTTTGAACTTTTCGCGGCTTAGATCGTTTGAAAATTATTAATTTGAACTTTTCGTGGTTCAGATTGTTTAAGGATTATTGATCCGATAATCGTAATTGGACTTTCATTCATTTTAAAACTCTAAGACTCTTATCCCTTCTCTATGTCTATCTCATACACCTAACTCTCATACGTATATAACTCTCTCTCTCTCTCTCTCATAGACATTTTAAACACACTCTTTCCCATCTCTCATACTCTCTCTCTGTCTATATATATAGAGATAGAATGAAAGTCTAATTAGGATTTCACGGCTCAAGTCATTTGAGGATTATTGATTATGATGATCTTAATTGGATTTTCATTTTTTTAAAACTCTAATACTCCTATCTCTCATATAACTCTCTTTCTCTCTATCTCATACACCTAACTCTCATACATATATATATATATATATATATCTCAAAAATTTTAAATACACACTCTCTCATCTCTCATACTCTCATACACTTTCTCTATATATAATAAAGTAGCTAGTTTTATTTGTCTTGAGCTTTTCGCGGCTCAGATTGTTCAAGGATTATTGATCCGACAATCCTAATTGGACTTTCATTCCTTTTAAAACTCTAAAACTCTTATCTCTCATATAACTCTCTCCTCTCTATCTCATGCACCCAACTCTCAAACATATATAACTCTTTCTCTCTCTCATAGAGATTTTAAACACACTCTCTCCCATCTCTCATACTCTCTCTCTGTCTCTCTCTGTATATATATAAATATGTATATATATATATATGGATTCAGATCCCCTCCATTACCTCTTCTCTTCAATTTCCCACAATGCAGTGCTAGATGAGTGACACGTGTAAAATTTTGAATTTCAATGAATAAGATTTCTTTCTTGTGAGAAAATTCTTTAATAATTGTTAACACTCTACCAACAACAAAAATGAATGAGGAAACATCTTATCCATTGAAATTCAAAATCTTACACGTGCCACTCATCTAGCATTGTATTGAGGGAAATTGAAGGAAAGGGGTAATGGAAGGGATCTAAATCCTATATATATAGATAGATAAATAGAGATAGAATGAAAGTCTAATTAGAATTTAACAACTCAGATCATTTGAAAATTATTGATTTGACAATTTTAATTGGACTTTTATTCTTTTTAAAACTCTAAGACTCCTATCTCTCATATAACTCTTTCTGTGTCTCATAAACCTAACTCTCATACTTATATATATGTATATATATATCTCTCTCTCTCATAGATATTTTAAACACATACTCTTTCATCTCTCATGCTCTCTCTCTCTATATAATAAAGTGACTAACTTTGTTTGTCTTAAGCTTTTTGCAGCTCAGATCATTTGAGGATTATTGATCCGATGATCCTAATTGGAATTTAATTCCTTTTAAAATTCTAAGATTCTTATCTCTCATATAACTCTTTCTCTATCTATCGCATACACTCAACTCTCATACATATATAACTCTCTCTCTTTGTTATAGACATTTTAGACACACTCTCTCACCTCTAGTACTATATATATATATATATATATATATGGAGAGAGAGATACATAGAATGAAAGTCTAATTAGGATTTCGCGGCTCAGATCATTTGAGGAGTATTGATTTGACGATCTTAATTAGCCTTTCATTCCTTTTAAAACTCCAAGACTCCTATCTCTTATATAACTCTCTCTTTCTCTATCTCACACACCAAACACTTATACGTGTGTGTGTGTGTATATATATATATATATCTCATAGACATTTTAAACACACACTCTCCCTTCTCTCATACTCTCTCTCTATATATAGAGAGAGAGATAGAATGAAAGTCTAATTAGGATTGTCAAGATAAACAATGTTATCTCATACTCTCTTTCTCTGATAACATTGTTTATCTTAACAATCCTAATTATTAATAAAAAATAGCAAGTAATACCAATTGCACCAAAAAAAGTAAAAAAATTTAAAATCAAGTTAATTACTAATGAAAAAAAATAACAATGACCAATAAAAAAATAATTGAAACCAATTGTACAAAAAAAATAATATTCAAAACCAACTGTCAAATTTTTTTTCCTTTTTTGCATCATTTTACCCTTACTAATATTCATATTTTTTTAGAATACTTGAATAATGTAAAATAGACACCAAAACGACAAAAAGGTGAGCTAAATCAATTTTTTTTAAGTGGTGAAATTTTGATTTTGTTGATTTGGTTTAATTGCAAAATAAAAATATTTCTGTAGCATCCGAGAAGTCACAACAACCGAAAACTTAAATCAATTGTCCTCGCAGTTACAAGTAGATTTGCTAGACAATGTTAGTTCGGTTGAGTTTTTTTCCATTTTTTGAAATTTTGATTTGTAATTTAATGCGAACTAGATAACCTATTAATTAGATTTAGCTAGAAGCTGAAAAAATGAGCACTCGTTGAAAAGAAGAACCACCATAAATAAATGTTTGGCAGGATAATTTTATAATGGTATTAATTTAACTTCATGGGATTTTCAGATTGTGTTAATGTGATATGATTCTTCTTTATTTCAATCCTTACACTTCTTTTATTTAAGACATTATTGGATGCTCCATTTGCTTGATAAATTTTTTGTGTTAAAAGTGCATTCAAGCACGGGAAATGAATAGTCCATTGATAAACCACCAACTATATAAGTGAACCGCACAGTTTAATGACTATTCAATCCATGTAAGATAATAAATGCCCATATAAAAAAGTGGCTTCTATCTTTTTTATTTACTAGTTTATCATTGATTATATCACGTAATAATTCTGATTTGGTAGAACCTTTGTATTGAATATTTATTACTCAAAAACCCGATATGACAAAATGATAAAGGTTGGCTGTTTTGGCCGAACCATTCGGTCTACGGCGCTGGCGGTTATCAATTTTGAAGCTAGAATCATGCACTCTGGTCGGCGCTTCTTGTTCAAATAAATAATAACACTAACAAAGTACCCTCTCTTTGGCATCCGAAAATAATGGAATTAATACTCAAACGAAACCAGTTGGTCGGTAAGGTTTGACTAACAAGGCAAAAAGATCTAGTCTTCAGCATGAAATATCATCACGTGTAGAAAGCAGTTCTCACAAGTCAGTCAATAACAATTAATTGTATGTGCCTAACAATTACGATGACTGTGTGCCCACTAACCTAACAATTACGATGACAAAACAGAGCAACTTTGGAGAGTAGGCATTCTGTTGGCTGCAAATCTTTAAATTAGTGGCCGCCTGCCACAATTTGTCCTCCTTTTGCCTTTTTAAGAAAAATGGTACCAAAAAATATGACCCTGACCACAAAACAATATTTCCGAATAAAAATTTAAAACAAACACCACAATAATTTCATAATTTAGTTGATTAACATTCAAAATTAATATAAAAAATTCAATCCAAAAATTAAACGTCGAACCAAAATATTATCTAGTTGGCACTATCCCCTTGTGATATATTAGTCTGGGTAATACTATTGTACTAAAATCTAAATTGTACTGAAATATGTCTTATTCATTTATTTTGTTTTGGATAATTTGTAATAATTCATAAAAATAGTAATATAATAAAAATTTATTCATTATAATTTTTTTAGTCGATGAAAAGTGAATGAGCAATAGCAAAAAATATTTTTTGATACCTCCATAACTCTCGTTATTATCAATTGATGTGTCCAATTTCTCTGTCTGGCCACCTCATTGCTTTCTCATCTTATGTTGGAAAAGGAGCCACCATCAAATTTGACAAAGAACAATTAAACTAATGTTACATGAAAGATCAATCTAGTTGAGTCTCTCTCTATTCACCTCCGCGCCCAATAGTATTATGGTAGTTGGTTACCCCACTCCCACGCACACACTCCACCCCCGTGGGTTTATAAATTGAGTTTCAGTTTAGGAACTGAAGACGGGAAAACAGAGGGGATATAACCATGGAGCAAAATGAAGAGCGACAGAAAAGGCAAGATCATTATGGTTCCCTATCCAGCACAAGGGCATCTCACTCCCATGCTTCAGCTAGCTTCAGTCTTTGTTACCCATGGATTCAAGCCTGTAGTGGTTACTCCAGAGTTCATTCATCAACGCATTGCGCCCAAAATAGATACTAAAGATGGGTATTTTGTGCGTGTCTATATCCGATGGTTTAGACGCAGGGACGACTCGTGATTTCTTTGCCATTGAGGAGGCTATGGAGAACCACATGCCCATTCATTTGGAGCGCCTTATTGGTGAACTCGACGATGAAGACGGTGAAATTGCTTGTATGGTGGTTGATTTGCTGGCTTCTTGGGCCATCCAAGTGGCCAGAGGATGCCGCATCCCCGTGGTAGGCTTTTGGGCTGTCATGCTTGCTACTTATCGGTTGATAGCTTCCATACCTGAGATGATCCGCGCCGGCACCATTTCTGAAACTGGTAACTACTACATATTCAAGCATATTAAAAAAAAAAAAACATGTCCCTGGTACTTTTGAGCTTTTGAAATTCAGTGGCTGCCGAAAAAATCTAACAAGTTGAAGAATAAGCAACAAGAATGAGATTACGGTAAACTTGGATTGTTTAGGATTTTTAATGATCAAATTCGGCTGTTTTTTTTTCCCTCTAACCTAACCCAATGTGTCTTAACTTGTTCTTTTTAGTTGAACTCGACACCTTATAAACCTAACTAGCCTCTATTTAGTTTTAATTTTCGACACAAACTAACCAAGGAAAAAACAAACTTTTAACACAATAATCATTTTGTATGGTAATTTTAAGTACTGTTTGATAATATTTTTTTAGTGGTCCATTTGGTAGAGTATAGAAAAATGAAAGGATTAAAAGTCATACATTTAGGATTAGGGTGAATCAAATATTTGAGTGAAATTTTATATACGTTCTATGTCTTAACTTAACCTAATAATTAGGATATCCTGTATATCCATGAACTAAGTTGTGAATTGATGTGCAGGATGAACGATAAACAAGGACGGGGATGCGGACGTGGGCGTGGCCATAGAGGTCAAGCGAATCCACCACCACCACCACCTCCGGATGCCATGCAAGGCATTTACCAATGCTTGAGGGAGCTCACCACTTTCGTACAAAACCAAAATGGTAACAACAACCACAATGGTGGAGCTCATCCTCTCGCTCAAGTACCAGGCAATGGGAACGAATATCGAAGGATGATAGCTCTTCTGGAATTCTTAAGACAATTACCACCCAATTTCCAAGGGAGTTCCAATCCTTTGGAGGTGGATAGATGGATCCGCTGAGTGAAGAAGATCTGTGACGGCATAGGAGTTGTCGAGGAGTTGAGAGGTGGTTTGACGACCTACCTATTTGAGGGGGAAGCCGAATATTGGTGGGATGCCATAAAGAGGAGAAGTGACACCGACACACTCACTTGGGAAGAGTTCGATCAACTTTTTCAAGATAAGTACTTCCCTGAATTGGTCAGAGACCGAATGAAGGCGAATTTTCTTGCACTACGACAGGATAGTATAACCATGACTGAGTATGAGAGGCGGTTCGACGAGCTCTCCCGTTATGCTACGGGATTTATATCTACTGAGGCCGACAAAGCCAAGCGCTTCGAGAAGGGTCTGAGGCCGATCATTAGGGAGAAGTTGGTGGCTCTCATAGTCCGTGATTTTGGGGACTTGGTGGATAGAGCTGCACTGGTAGAAAGAGACATAGAGGATAGCCAGCAACGACAGGGTTTCTCGAGGGGAGGTCCGATCTGAACGGGTGCTAGCACTAGTGGGCATAGAGACCGACACCATATCGTCGCCCAGACCAGACAGATGGACAGCGACTTTTGACAGCCCGAGGATAGGGAGACACTCAGACTAGAGCCGGTATTTTTCCCACGATCCTATTTTGCATGCGGAGGTGTGGGACATATTCGGATGCATTGCCCAGTTTTTCCACCTCAGGGGCCTATCTAGACTGCCAGACAGGTACTAGCAGCCCAACCACCACCATCGAGGCCTGCACTGCAATGATCGATACAAGCTCAAGCCCCCGGCGGCGCCAACCAAGGGCGAGTATTTGCTTTGACTCAGTCGGAGGAGGACATTGCCAATGCCGTTGTGGTTGGTATCGTCCTTATTTACAATTCTTGGGCCCGAATATTATTTGACCCCGGTGCAACACACTCATTTGTACGCACAACATATGCACTTGATTTGGGATTGAGTTTCGCAAAGCTAGAGCATGTTATGAACATTAGCTTGCCCACGGGAGAACGGTTAGATACTATCCGAGTCTGCAAGGGTTGCGTGCTTCGCATTGGGGAGCACGAATTGATTGTGGATTTGATTGCTTTAGAGATAAAGGGGTATGATGTGATTTTCGGGATGAACTAATTTTTCACTTTTCGGGTGGTAATGGATTGTTTTCGCAAGCGGATTATATTTCAGTTGCCGGGAGGAGTCGTTTTCAGTTTTGTGAATAACCGAGATTCTTCCCATCCATTTCCTACTACGGGTAGTAGATTCTTAAAAGTGAAATCGGGAAGTTATTTGAGTTTCTTAGCTAGCTTGATGGGAGATAACAGGGATAAAATCCATACGGATATGGTGTTAATTGTATCGAAGTTTCTAGATGTTTTTCCCGAGGAATTACCCGGATTACTGCCACATAGGGAAATTGAGTTCAAGATCGATCTCTATCCAGGAATCGAACCCATATCCATTGCTCCCTACCGGATGGCACCTTTGAAGTTGAAGGAGCTAAGGAAGCAGTTGGATCACTTGTTGGCGATTGGGTTTATCCGTCTAAGCAGTTCACCTTGGGGAGCCCCCGCCATCTTTGTAAAGAAAATGGATGAGACTCTACGGTTGTGTATAGATTACCGGAAGTTGAATCGGGTTACCGTGAAGAATAAGTATCCGTTGCCGAGAATTGATGACTTATTTGATCAGTTGAAGGGTTCGAAGTATTACTCCAAGATTTATCTTCGCACGGGGTATCATCAGCTGCGGATTAAGGAGGAGGATATTCCTAAGACTGCTTTCCGTACCCGGTATGGTCATTTCAAGTATACGGTGATGCCGTTCTAATTGACTAATGCCCCCTGCAGCCTTCATGGATTTAATGCACAGAGTCTTCCGGCCTTACCCCGATTAATTTGTCATTATGTTTATTGATGACATATTGATTTACTCACAGACTCATGAGGAACATGCTCGTCATCTCTCTATTGTGCTACAAACATTGAGAGAACATAAGTTATATGCGAAGATGAGCAAGTGTGAGTTTTGGATGAAGGAAGTGAAGTTCCTTGGCCATGTTGTGTCCGAGCAAGGAGTAGCGGTTGATCCAGCAAAGATTGAGGCCGTGATGAAATGGGAACCACCGAGGAACGTGACAGAAGTACGGAGTTTCTTGGGGTTAGCCGGTTATTATCGTAGGTTTGTGGAAGGGTTCTCCAAGCTTGCGATGCTGATGACTCGCCTTACAAAGAAGGGGGAGAGATTTTTATGGACTCAAGTGTGTGAACTAGCTTTTTGCACCTTGAAGGAGAAGTTGACGACGACACCTATCCTCATTATTCTGAGCAGTGGGGAAGGCTACGATGTTTACACCGATGCTTCACTACGAGGCTTGGGATGCGTTCTAATGCAAGGAGGGAAGGTAGTGGCTTATGGCTCGAGGCAACTCAAGGTGCACGAGCAGAATTATCCCACACACGACTTGGAGCTGGCTGCAGTGGTGTTTGCTCTTAAGTTGTGGAGATGTTATTTATACGGGGAGAAATTTCAAGTGTTTTCGGACCATAAAAGCCTCAAGTATATCTTCACACAGAAAGACTTGAATCTCCGGCAGAGAAGGTGGATTGAGTACTTGGAAGATTATGAGTTCACACTCAACTACCATCCAGGGAAGGCCAATGTAGTTGCCGACGCTCTTAGCAGGAAGTCGCGGGCTGAAATTAATTTTTTTGCGGTAAATAGGTGAAAAATGATTGATGCATTGGAGGAGTACGATCTATGGGTGGATGGACCGGAGTATCAATCATATCTATTCAACCTTGTAGCTCAACCGACGCTTCGACAACGGGTTGTGGAGTTGCAATGCCTGGATTCGGAACTCGATTTGATTAGAGCCCGATTGGAGAATGGGGAAGCGATGGGAGGATGGTCTTGGAAGAATGGAGAGTTGAGATATGGGGANTGGCGACGGTTAGTGGAGTTGCAATGCCTGGATTTGGAACTCGTTTGGATTAGAGCCCAATTGGAGAATGGAGAAGCAATTGAAGGATGGTCTTGGAAGAATGGAGAGTTGAGATATGGGGAGAAGCTATGTGTTCCCGATGATTCGTCCCTAAAGGAGGAGATACTTGGGGAGTGTCATCGCTCCAAGTTTGCTATCCACCCCGGTAGCACAAAGATGTATAGGGACATGAAGCGTCAATACTGGTGGAGGGGAATGAAGCGAGATGTAGNATCCCTAAAGGAGGATATACTGGGAGAGTGTCATCGCTCCAAGTTTGCTATCCACCCCGGTAGCGCAAAGATGTATAGGGACATGAAGCGTCAATACTGGTGGAGGGGAATGAAGCGAGATGTAGCCAAGTATGTGGCAAAATGTGCGGTGTGCCAGCAGGTGAAGATTGAGCATCAAAGGCCAGGAGGAGTCCNGAGTGTCATCGCTCCAAGTTTGCTATCCACCCCGGTAGCGCAAAGATGTATAGGGACATGAAGCGAGATGTGGCCAAGTATGTGACAAAATGTGTGGTGTGCCAGCAGGTGAAGATTGTGCATCAAAGGCCAGGAGGAGTCCTATAGTCTTTGCCTATTCCAGAGTGAAAGTGGGATCACATCACCATGGACTTCGTGTCGGGTTTACCACGGACGTCGCGCAGGCATAATGCAGTGTGGGTCATTGTGGATAGACTCACCAAGTCCGCTCATTTCTTGGGTATGAAGACCACAGNAGTCCTATAGTCTTTGCCTATTCCAGAGTGAAAGTGGGATCACATCACCATGGACTTCGTGTCGGGTTTACTACGGACGTCACGCGGGCATAATGCAATGTGGGTCATTGTGGATAGACTCACCAAGTCCGCTCACTTTTTGGGTATGAAGACCACGGATAAATTCGAGAGTTTGAGCCAGCTGTATATCCGAGAGATAGTGAGGTTACACGACGTTCCGTTCTCGATTGTGTCAGATCGTGACTCTAGGTTTGTGGTGAGAATCTGGCAGAGTCTACAATAAGCGATGGGGAAGGAGTTACACTTCAGTACGACTTTTCATCCCCAAACGGATGGCCAATCTGAGAGGGTGATACAGATTGTGGAGGATATGTTACGCGCTTACGCGTTGGACTTCAAGGGAAGTTGGAGCGACCACTTACCGTTGGTGGAGTTTGCTTACAACAACAGCTATCAGGAAAGTATTGGGATGACACCGTATGAAGCATTT